GAGGCTGCACTGATGGGCACTAATAGGCTGCAATGATAGACTGCACTGATGAGGCTGCACTGATGGACACTGATAAGGCGGTATTGATGGCCACTGATGAGGCAGCACTGATGGCCACTTATGAGGCAGCACTGATGGCCACTGATGAGGCTGCACTGATAAAGCTGCACTGATGGGCAGTGATATGCTGCACTCATGGGGCTGCACTGTTGGACGCTGTTATGCTGCAATCATGGGGCTGCACTGATGGGCACTGATATGCTGCACTCATGGGGCTGCACTGATAATCAGGGCACTGATGATGATAAACGTCCCTGTCACAGGAAAGCCATTTACCGGCTTTCCTTTTATCAGAGCTGTGACAGCGATGAGGAAATGCCGATAACCGGCATTTGTTTACGTGTGATCAGCTGTGATTGAACACAGCTGATCGTATGGTAAAGAGCCAACGTCATTGTCACTTTACCCTGATCAGTGATGCACTGTGTCTGAGGGATACAGTTCACTGCTGCTCACCACGTTTCAAGCTCCCAGTGGTGCACAAGCACAGCAAGAATGGGTGGATGTCATCCCAAAATGAGAGCGGTTCCACCCAGTCGACATTGTACAATTGGCTGGGCGGTAACCAATTAATAATAAACCATACCAAACCAGTGTTTGAAATTCTAACCAAAATACACAGACATTAGGTAGCACTGCACATCCCTATACCTGTAGTGATTAAAATTAAATAAATATGTAATAAAATGTAAATCGCCTCAATTAACAACATAGACACAGAAAAGATATATACAGAATAAAATAAAAAGCAGTCCCAAAGAAAGTCCTCCACATCAGTGGATATTATCGATCACCAATAGTGTCCATATATGATCCACATCATTTTCTAATTTTCCCACTGTGCAGATTCAATGAGTCATCAAAAATAAATGTCTCACATCCAAGATGATCCTATTGTACTCTTGCTCTAGGATATGGTATCTTCTAAGATGCTTTCGTTCCAACAGTCACCCTTAAAAAAGAAAGGCTCCCAATAGTACAAAATCACTACACCTTCAAATTTTATTAAAACCATATGAAATACTCACAAAGACATTATAAAAAAAAAGCCTTCAATAATAAAACCAGCCACCAGTGTTCCCGCTTTCCCTGCATGAGCTGGATTCTGGTTCTACGCTTGGTAATGCCCTAATGCACGTTTCATCTGTGTGGACTTCCAGATACATATTTACTAAGACACAGTCAAAAACAAAAAGGTAATATATTGTTACTTATTAATCCTTAAATCTTGTGGCTGCCTTAGTTTTCTTTATTTAGGCTTTTTTTCCCTTTTTTTTTTTTGACCTGCATAGTTGATGAACAGAATATTTCAATGCAGGAAAGTCTTTTTTAAAGACTGCCGTTTTCTGGGCATCACTGTTATCTTTCACTGCCAGGTGCGTCATATAGCATGTTCCCCACTGGACACTGGTTCCTCCCCGACAGTCAATAGGCTGTAGAATAATGATATTGTACAGGAAGACTTTCCTACTTGTTGTTAAATATTTCTCTGAGCAGACTCAAACCGTTCCTCTGCTGCATAGTTTAACATGGGTCAGGAATGGTAGATGTGTACAGACAGATATCTACCAGAAAATAGCAGACAGGGAAATGTCTGCCAATTTATGGCCTCCCTAAATTTCAACCCAGCAGCACTTGAGTGCACCAATTTACTTTGTGAAGTCTTGTGGCTGCCTTCAACAGGTTTTAGTGTGCCAGAAACCCAAAGTCCTTCTAACGTAAGGGCTCTGCAGGCTAATATCCTAATGTCCTGGGATGCTTTTGTGCTTTGGAAGCCAGAGATACTGTAAAAGTCCTGCTTTATTCAATTGCAAACAATTTAAAAGGAATATATACAAACTTAACATTAAGCTAAATCTAGTGGACTTTCTGTAGTCATAAGTCTTGAATACCATTAGCAGTTTACTGATTGATTTTTTTCATTTCTAAGTTGTTCTTTAAGGACTGTATGTTCATCATTTCTCTTTTTATATCTTGTGCAATGCTGAAGGATAAGTTTTCAGATACTTTACAGTGTTTCATAGCATCGTTTCATGCTGGGTTAAAGATTCTTGACATACTCAACATCCAGCTTAATGTAAAAGGACAAATTAATGGCATCTGGACTTCAAAAAATGCCAAAGGGCAGATGACTCCATAGCGTTTCAGCCTTATCTGTCTTTTTAGATGAAATCAAAGAAGTGTCTGTTGCTCAGAAAATGCAGTGATAATTAATAGTGAATCATTTGCCTCCACCTGCGAAGAGTAACCTTTTTGTGCAGGTAGCCATTTTGTGGAAACAGACATTTTTATGGCAAGCTGATACACAGATCATCAAATCAATATAAAACAAAGCAGATTTTTCTGATCTTAAAAATAGTCTATATATAGACAGCAACAGCTGAGCTGTTAAAATATAATTTTGTATCAGTTCTGCTCCAGGAAAGGTGATAACATGCAAACCAGCAGGTGTCCAAATCCCAAAGTGCCGTTGACTTGGATCCAATAAAATCTCTTAAACTTGACTTAGGGGACTTTGCAATTACAAGTATTCCATATACCGAAACTCAGGTTTACTTGGTTAACATGCTTCCTGTGAGGTGCTATATTCAAAAATAGGGAAGAGCAGAATAATTTTGTTGAAAACAAATTGAATGCTAAATTAACTATTTTTGTGTTGGTGAAATTTTACTTAATAGGAAACTTTAAGTTTCGCTCATTTACTTTTTTTTTTCTTTGCATGCAGTATTTTTGTTTTACTTTAGTTTACATATACATAGCTAGAACAACCAAAAAGGGTTTAGAATTTTTTTTAATGTAAGAGCAGCAAATCTCGAATATGCAAGCTAGCTACAGCTATTGAGATTTTAGTTGTTTTGTGTAATCACAACATAGGATTGCAGGCCAGTTAGTTGCATATCATCTTACACATCAAGTCTATATCTCCACTTTGATTCCACTTACAAAAAGAAAAGTGGGAGTACAGCTATATAAACTTGCAATATATATAATAATAAAAAAGTGAGCGCTAATCCAAGAAAGCAGCTAAGCACTCTAAGCAACCAAAAAATACTTAAACAGAGTAATAACAACAAAAGTGCAGCGCTAGATGATGAAGTGTGAAAGAAAGTCCACTAAAGTCTATTCATAAAAACGTGCCCGATGACAAGTGGAAAATCAATGGTGGCGGTCTGTGAAGAAAAGCAGAAATGCGCACTCACCAGAAGACAGATGTAAGTAAGCGGTATGCATCAAAGCCCATAGATCCTCAATCAAGGAGAGAAATGGTCTGGTCAAAGTGGGTTGATCTTCCCTTAAGGATGCAGAGCTAATCCAGAGCAGATCCAGGTAGCCAGAGGTCTCCTACAGCTGGAAGGACGGAAGGGGTCTCCTGCTTAAAGGGGGGGTCTTCCTCCTCTTGGTAAAGGCCTGAATTCTCAGTGAAGGACTCTGCAAAAAGTTACTCCTCTCAGGGAGTCAGGGAAGGACGCCCATAGTGTAGTATTCATAGAATCAATTTTATTAAGGACAGTAGTAACAACTTTCAAAAACATGTGTCATCCAGGTGTAAAGGTTGAACTAACCCTAGAAGATGAAATAATGGCCGCCGGGTCTCCATGTGGCTCCGGCGGCGTAGCATCTCGACGTCCAGCCTCCTCCTTACGCGTTACGAGGTATGGAACCAGTGAAATATCAACTTGCAAGACTGGAAAGTGGAATACATCTGTGTTGGAATAGCTGATCGCTGATTGGCTAGTGGCCTCCCCACCTCAATCTGTATTGATAATGGTAAAAGTAAATAATCAAACTAAACAGCAATTAAAAAAAAATTATTCAGAGATCCAGTCCCATATCCCAATAATTTGGTTCCATACCCTTCAAGAGCTACAAATATCCCCAGTACAGAATCTCTAAATTGGTATTAAAAACTACTAACCACAAACAACAAGGAAATATGTGAAATTCACATGAGAAAAAAGTATGTCTGGAGAATTATTTCAATGGAAACATCCTGTCAGAGGGATAAGAAGGTCTAAAGATATAGACAGCTGAACTTATATGGAAATCTTTAAATTTCCTTTGAATGGTAGTAGAGCTATAGGCTAAACCTTTTTTTTCCTGCGTTTTGGATAGAGTAACAGAGGCTTATAACTCCGGTCAGATTTTTTTTTTGCCATCTGTGTCCCATTGGGGAGATTTACATTTACTTCCTGTACTATAGCCAAAACAAGAAGTGATAGGAAATCCCTGCAAATTAAGGGAATCCCTTGGGGACCCCCAGGTCACCAGAACTAGTGTCCCCATTGGAAGATTTCCCCTCTATTACTTTTCTGAGGACAACCCAAAATTTGGGATTTCATTCTTTCACTTTCAATAATAAGAGTAAAAAGGACAAATAGAGAGGGTGAATCTGCCTAACAGGGCCACAGACAGCAATTAAAACCTGACAGGTGTTCAAACCCACTCTATCCAAAACCAAAAAAAGTTTTCCTTTTAGTTTCTTTCCCTCCAGTGGATTTACCCCGCTTCCCGACCAGGCCATTTTTTGCGGTACGGCGCTGTGTTATTTTAACTCACAATTGAGCGGTCCTGCAACGCTGCACCCAAATTAAATTTATGTCCTTTTTTCCCACAAATAAAGCTTTCTTTTGGTGGGATTTGATCGCCTGTGCCTTTTTATTTTTTGCGCTATAAACCATAAAAGACCGACAATTTTGAAATAAAAACTATATTTTTGACTTTTTGCTATAAAACATATCCAGTAAAAAAAATTTAAAAAATCTAATTTCATCATAAATTTAGGCCAAAATGTATTCTGCTACATGTCTGTGTTAAAAAAATCCCAATATGTGTAAATTCATTGGTTTACGTGAAAGTTCCGTCTATAAATGGCGGTTTATATACTGGAAATTTTGTTTATTTTTTTTTTATATACTAGTAATGGCGGCGATCAGTGACTTATAGCGGGACTGCTGTGGGCATTCTGACACTGGGGGAAACTGACTAACTTTCACTGACATCCCCAGTGACACTAATACAGTGATCAGTGCTAATAAAAAGCACTGACACTGTACTAATGACACTGTGCAAGAAGGGGTTAACATCTGGGGCGATCAAAGGGTTAACTGTGTGTTGTGTGTGCTTTACTGTGTAAGCACGCTGTTTTGTATAGCACTGCTATGCAGAGCAATACAAAGCAGTGTGCTGCATCTGACAGGGGAGAGATCTGTATTATTTACATACAGACCTCTCCCTGTCAGTGATACTCGGTTGATTGCCAGGTGCCAGCAGGGAATCACTGGCCGGATCTGGTGATCGATGGTTGAAGCTGCCAATGGTGGCGCGGGTAGGGCGTGTGTGCATGCCCTCTACCCTAAATACAAAGTCTTGTTTATAGCTAAACGTGATTTTGCGCAGTCCTGCCGCCCTGTAGCAGTAGTTCTGCTATAGGGCGGTTGGGAAGCAAGTTAAGTTCCTGATCACCATTGAGGTTGATTTAACTAAAGACAAATAGGACTTTTTTTTGCAAGGGACTTTTCCTTAGCTTAGTGAATAGGTGAATTTTTTTTTTAGCTTGCTGACTTTTTTTTTTTTTTTTAGCATCATTCCATTAGTACAAGCAGAAATAGTACATACAGAGTAGGGTCTCGGTCACACTATCTGTGTGAACTGCCCTTTTTCCACACTGAATAAATGCAGATAACTGTTAGGGGTCATAGAAAAACATTTTTTCTTTTTTTTTTTTTTTTTTTTCTCCAAAAATTTTATTTTAATTCTTATCCTCTGAGATTAACCACTATTTTCGGAGCATCATACTGCACACGTATTACTTTGAAGCAATCTCCCGACCGTTATATTCGAGGCCCAGTCAGACATGTAATTGAACGTATATAGTAAACAAATACAGAGAATCACGCTTACCCATAAGACAATAGTAAAATAACAATTTCGCAATATATGGATGGTAAGCAATACGAGGTATAACGCGGATGCAAGTGTCGGGGTAAAAAAGCGTACTTAAGTAATCCGGAGAAGTGGAGCACAAAACCAGCAATTGATGTCTGAGACGGACGCCTCGTTGCAATTCACGCACATACCGTTAAGGTAAAAGATTTCTGTCTTGATATGTAGAAATAGTTGTTTTAACGACTAGAAATATGAGACAAAAGGGAAAGAAAAGACTTCAGAAAAAGAAAAGAGGAAGAGTACTGTATTCTGGAGGAAGATTAAAAGCCACAGGGAGGTAGTAAGAGGGAAAAAATAAAAAAAAAAAAAAAAATATAATGGGGGGGGGCGGTGGGGAACGTAGCGTAGGGGGGTTCTAGGGGGCGTGAAGAGGATGAGGGGAGTGGGAGACCGGTGGGGAAGGAAAAGTAAAGAGGAAAGAATGGATCAAGTCTAATAGTTAATCGAACTAACATAATGCCAACCATCCATAATAATATATGTCTACCCCGTGACAAGCTAATAGGTATATATCCTTAGGACTTAAACATACATTTCGATAAACACGAGGTCCCGCGTTGCTATTCACAAGGTTAGATAACTTTGAACGAGTATTCACAGACCTGTAGAATGAGTTTTAGTTATTCGTTTAATAACAGATTATAGGCCTTCAAATAGGTAGTTTGGAAGATGTTTCCAACATACGCCCAAGTTTTTCCGAAATCTCTCCGGGGTGGTCTCATTTCACTGAAATCAATTTCCTCCATCTCCGCAGACTCTGATGACCCTATGAAACCACTCCCGCACAGTAGGAATCTGTTCCTGATCGCCATGGACAGAATGCATTTGTTTTGGCCGCATTTAATCATATGCAGGGTAAGAGACTTACGATACATCCTTAACGGAACTTGAGGATGGAGGAAGTAAAAATTGAGCCGGGTGTATTCCAGAGTGTAATAGGTCACTTGTGAGACTATAATCTCGCACTTTTTTCCAAAAAGGGCTGCAACAAGGGACAATCCCACCAGATATGTAGGAGTGTGCTGTTGTGTGTTTACATCTCCAGCACAACTACTGAAATGTTGAGGGTCAAATTTATGCAGCAGGGACGGACTTCTGTACCACATCTAGAGTATAATTTTCAGTAATTACTTTTCCATGCATGGAAACACACATTTGAGCCCGAATGTATATGTATCATAAATGTGATCCCAGTCGTCAGTTGACAAAGGTATTTGTAAATCTCGTATCAAAGCCTCACACGCTTTTCGAGGTTGAGAATATACTAGTAGTTTTTCAAGAAGGGGGAGTAAAGCTTGGATATAACATGTCGCTGGGGGTAATTCGAGAAGCAAAGTTTTCTCAAATGGAGTAAGCGACCTGGAGTATCTTGTAAATGCGAGCGTTATGTGAAAATGATTTTTTTTATTTGTCTATAGATCCACGGTGTTAGGTTCCAGGGATGGCCATTAACTTCAAAATGTCCTCTCTAGATAAGAACGTAGTATTTTTGAAAAGGTGATGTATTGTCCAGATTATCTGGAAGGTCCACATCCAGAGAGGAAAGATCGGACATACCCGCAAAAAAGTCTGGGTTCTCTTTTGAGTGGGGTGTGAAGGGCCCGGGGAGGAAGAGAGCTCAGTTTCTGGAATATCTGTCGGGCAACAGTTTAACGTGGGGCCTACAAGAGGGTGATCCCGAAATTCAGTGGGAATATGAGCATTTCCCAGCCAAGGGGAGGGAGGCAAGCCCCCCCCCCCCCGACGAAATCATCGAAAAATCAGATTCTACGTCAACCCAAATCTTACGATCACAGTTCGAGGTCCACTAGTCTACTACTCTTGTCCAATTGACACGCCCTGTAGTACCGTGTTAATGTCAGGGTAGTCCAATACCATCCACTTTCTCTTAGGCATGGTGAGTTGTACAAAGCTAATTCTGGGTGTTTGTTATTCCAAAAGAAAGGAGGAGCAGTAGGAGCTTTTTATAAGATGTAATAGAAACGAACTCGGTAATGCAATCGGTATTGTTTGGAGTAGGTACAGTATTCTTGGAAGCACATTCATTTTGAGAATGGCTGCTCTACCAAACAGGAAAACCAAGGTTTGTTCCCAAGTCTGGAGGTCTTTGGAAATATTATACGCAAGAGAGGTAAGGAAATTCAAATCATAAGAGTTCCTTTAGATTAGTCGGTAATTGGATTCCCAAGTATGTAATTGCCTCCGACTGCCAGGCAAAAGGAAGTTCGATTTCGCTGCCTAATCACCTCCCGGTGAAGAGAGACATTAAGAGCTTGGGATTTAGAGAAGTTTTATTTTGAAGTTGGCCAGGTAATGAAACAGTTCAAAATCTTTTAGCAGATTAGGTAAATTGATATGGGGATCTGTTAGAAAAAGCAAGATGTCATCTGCAAAGGGAGGCCGCTATCTTATGAATTTTGCCATTGATATGAATCCCCCATTGATATTATCGTTTTGTTTTGATGCAATTCATCAGCGTTTCATGTTATAAAATAAAAAGGAGGGGGGATAGTGGGCATCCCTGCCTGTGCCAAGTGCCTATCAAAAAAGAGTCTGAGAGTAACCGTTAACGTCGCACTTTAGCTGTGGGAGAGGTATAAAAGACATAATGAAGGTACGGAAACGGCATGATGGCAATCCAAGGCAAGGCCAAAAGAACCGCCTCCATATAATCCCATGCTAACCTTATCAACAAAGGCCTTCTCGGCATCTAGTGATAAGAAAAAAGCCTGATTGTTGTTTTTGAATTAACTCAATGATGAACATTTATGGCCCCGATGGTGTTGTCTCTGGCTTCTCTCCCAGGTAACGAAGCCCACTTGATCCATTGATACAATGGGATCAATAATATGTAATAGGCGATTGGCAAGATTTTTTGCAAAGATCTTTAAATCGACATTCAATAAAGAGATCGGACGATAGTTTGCTGGTAGTGTGTGGTCTTTATTCCTCTTTGGTATAACCGTAATATGTGCCTCAGTGAGAATGGCGCAAGGATTGCCCTGGTGTATCTAAGGTATTGGAAGCCGTAAAAAATGGTTGTGGCCAATATGTCGTGGAAAGTCTTATAGTAGGGCATGACAAATCCATCGGGACCTGGGCATTTACCAGGTTTCAGTTGTGCAATAGCTTGTTGTAACTCCGTCAGGGTCAAGAGCACCCATCTAACTCTTTTGCTTGTGTTTCTAGTAATTGGGTTCGGGAGATATTGGTTCAGAAAGTCTGGATAATTGTCTTACGTGATCTAGTGTCACCTGATGGTTTAGATGTACAGGTAAATTGTATATAAGGCAGAATAATAGTTTTTCAAATTCAGCTGCAATAATTCTTTGATGTTTTCATAAGCAGTCCCTGCTTAGAAGTAAGACTGGTATATGTGTCGAGATTGCCTTTTTGGTCTTGTAAGGCCGGGCTAGAAACTTGCCACTCTTATTTTTCCATGTTTCAACTAAAACGAGTTTATGTTGAAGAATAAAACTACTACGTTTTGACGGTCTTTCCTGTCTACAAACATCTAGAAGTTGTTTACGCACTTGATCTAGTTCAGGATGCAGAATTCAAAGGCTCTAGAGCGTTTATGTGTGCATTCAAGTGTACGAACTTTTTGCAGTAGGGAGGCAAAAGAATGCATGTGACTAGACGTTTTTGCGAGGCGGTTATAGACATGAGAAGCCGCGGTTACACATTTATGTGCTTCCCACTGTGTGAGAGGGGTCCGTTTCAGGAGATACATTTTCTTTGAAATAATTGGTCAGAGAATCACGGATCTGGAGGGAAAACAGAGGAGTCTGTAAGAAGAAAGGGGTCCAATCTCCATGTTTTGGACGCAGCCCGGCGCATCAGAAAATAGGGGGTGTAATGTCATCAAAATTGGGTGTGTCAGAAAAGGATTCATTGGTTCGAATCGAAGCAGAGTGCAAGTTATGTAAGTCTTTCTGAGAAAGAAAAAAATAATCAATTCTAGAATGTCCCTTAGTGGTGCGGAGTAAACGTGTAGTCTTTGTCTTTAGGGTGGAGGGTGCGCCAGGTATCATGAGGAGAAGATCATGTAAGCTCCAGTTTGATCTGTTTGAGTCTTTGAAGGGTTTAGAGGAGGAACCGGTAGAAGTATCCTCCAATGGGTTCAATGCTACATTAAAGTCGCCGCCAAGAATCAGAATACCCGACTGAAAAGTGGACAGTAATTTGGCGATTTTGCGAAAAAAGGCAGACTTGTTGCGGTATTGGGGCTGTAAATGTTAGCTAGAGTAAGTGGCTTATTATAGAGGGTGCCTTAAGAAACAGAACCTCCCCTCGGGGTCCTCAAGATGTTCAGTGATAGTAAACGGGAGCTGTTTAGAGAGTAAGCA